AAATGGAAACTTCATGAGGGTAGAGAGAAAATACAATTTTACTAGATAATGTTCATTCTGGAATTTTGCAGTATGATTTATTTTGTGATGTGAATGTCACTTATTTATCTCTCTAAAGATATTATTTGGGATTCACATTATGATATTATGATTTGGTTTTGAGTATAGTTTTCAATACAAAAGATTCAGAAGAAATTCTTTGAGAATTGAAAGAAATAATTTTTTTATTGAGACATGCTCAACTTAATTTTTTGTTGAGAAAATATCATGGTGACGTAAATATCACTAAAATATATAATCACTAAATGGTGTAATTTAAGGATAAAACTGAGCACTATTTCATATTTTTTAGTCTATTTCATACTCAAAAGGATTCAGAGATAAACTCTTTACGAGTTAAAAGATATCATATATTTATCATGTGATGCTCATGTTCTATTCTACAGTAAATTAAAAGATGTGGCATATTAAAGCACATATTTGGATTCATAATAATGAATGACTTTTTTAAAAATGTTTTATAGTGTGCCATGAGTATGGTTTATTATATTAAAATTTCAAAAAGAGGTAATATAAAATTGGCGAGATATGACACTCTATATGAAGAGTGTTTGATCTATGAATAACATAAAGAACAAGAAACACAATGTCTATAACAAACATCTTGGTTTTTTTGAAAGGAATGGATACATAGAGAGACTTGGAGGTAGCAAATAAATGCTAAAGATCAGTGGGAGAATCAAATTTGTAATATTTGAAATAATGGGATGAATAAGAGTATTTCTTCATGGTATGAGAAAAGTAGAATCCAAGTGCCGAAGAGATGGACACTTCGTGAATGTGAAATCGATGACCAATATATTATCTATCAGTTACGTGCTCTTCCAATATCATAAAAACTTGTCAAATAAGTAAAAACAATTAATCAATAAAGCCCAGGTACCACATTACATATTTTTGAGGTATGAAATCTATATCATCTTACGGGAAAGATGATCCAATAAGTTTTTATTTTATGTTTAATATGCTTTGGTTATATTTTGGTTAATTGTTTTATGAATATGTATAAAGTTCATGGATATTAAGTGATAGGTGCTAACAAATTTAAAAAGACAGTTTATGAATACCCTATGTTTTAGTGTCTCATTGTGCTAGAGTATGAACTACTTAAAGTAATGATATACATAGAGATGTGATTTAATCAAGGGCTTTGAACCCTAAGTATGAAACATGAGAGATGGGTGTTGCTATTCAAATATATATGCACGAAGGAAGTGTTATGATGGACCTAGGTCTTAGTGACCATCCTCCCAATAATGTCTAATAATATAATGTGTTGCATATGATGATGATCTCTTGATAAAATCTTCATATTTGCCAAAAGAAAGTATTTTGTCAAGTTTTTTATAACCATTATTTAGTCATAATTCATTTTGGATAAAATTATACGATGGTCTTTATGATTTGTTTTTGCGGTCATAAACTTGATTTGGTATGAAATTAAAGGTGAATGTAGAAAAAAGAGATTGTATTTTAAAATTAAATTGGATGATTTGAGCAAAACCTAAGTCTATGAATATAGTTTTGAGAAAACCTTATCGTCTTGCAAAGTCAACTAAGTCTTTATGGAAAATCATTCTAAACCGTCATATTATTATCTAACTATTGCTTATGAATGTATATATACCTGATCACTAGTTTTTTTATTAAAGAAAAAAACATTGTGTCTTGAAGGTATTATAAAATTAGGAGAAAAAATGTCATGAACTAGTTTTTAAATACCTATATGCCTTAGCCCATGTTTCTAGTTATTTTGAATCATCGATTACGTAAGATCTTTAACTATAGGGGATGTTGTAGGAAGGCCATCTTGCTAGGCTTGACACATGTTGTATTGATTAGATAACTGGATTTGTATGTATTTACTACCAAGATGACTAATGTGGTTGAACATTTGTGACTCAAGAATGTTTTGCACATTATGAAACCAACGGGCATTGAATTGCTTATTGCATAAGACTTGTTCATGATATAAGCATAAGAATGCTAATAATGTATATGTTGTATGTGTAATAATTGAGAGGGAGCTGCTACAGTGCCTCTTTTTTTAGTTGCTTTGATATTTAGATATACAAATACAATGATCTCACAGATCTAAATGATGTGAAGTCTATATCTAGATACATGTTTATGCTAGGAGGGGGTACAATTTATTGAAAAAAAAAAAGATGTGATGGCATTGTCCTCCATGAAGGCAGAGTACGTAGCGTGTTGTTTGGTGGCCAAAGAAGCAGTATGGATTAAGAAATTTCTTAATCGACTTGACTTTCACCCTGTGCATTGTGAGACAATAAATATTTTCTACAACAACACGATGATGATATGCGTATCAAAAGAGCTACGATTCTATCAGAACTCCAAATATATAAAACCATGTTTCTGTCACCTGATAAATGATATGAGATTGAGAGAGATCGAGATTAGCTATATATCCATAGATCTAATGATTGCATATCTTCAGACAAAGGGGGTTGTCCCTAATGTTTTTGTAAGATATGTGGGAGAGATGAGGATGAGAGAAAGTGAAGAAGATAGAATGTAACGGCTTACAAAGGCCAAGTGGGAGATGTTGGGTAAGTATGACCATTAAAGACCTTATGAGTGCTTGTAATAAACATTTTGATATAATGAAATATGAACTCAGTACTAAGCAAACGATGCTACTGATGCCAGATTAAGCTTGACAAGCTAGGCCAGTCGATTACGAAAAACCTATGCTTTCTTGACATAAAAAACTATCCGATAAGGGTTCTAATAGGTCATCCCTTGATGAGTTCGAAGTATGTTCAGATGAGTGAGCCGAGGGATTGTGTGACCATTGTATATGATGGTGACCTTTAGAGATAGGGGCCAAAGCCTCATCTACGAGCCATCACATGACATGCATATATAATAGTCATTTTGAAAAAGCGAACCACCTTTTAGGGTAAAGCTTATGCATATGAGCGAGAAATCTCTATACGTCACATGAGTTGTGGTCGTATCAGGTTTAGATGACCTTGGTACGTCTTTAGGAGAGAACCTAAAATCCACAAACTGGGATTATGATCCATTGGTTCATTGGTTAGATTTTGTTGACCCACTAGTGTGTCCCTGCATGGACTGTGGGTTATGGGAAACGCTAGGTCGATTTAATAAAACAAGTGTGGACCGTAGTCCACAGTTGAAGGTGGAGTGCCCTAATGTTTATTTATTTAATTCCTATACCATATTGATCATTTTCCCATCTAATAAATTTAATTATGTGAGTTTTAATGATATATGGTTTTTAGAATTATTATTTGAAGTTTTTAAATATCTGAATATTTTTATTTATCAAAATTAGATTTATAAAAACAGAGAAATTGACTTTAAATTGATTTAAATATTCAAATTTGATTTTGTAGATTTCTAAAAATCATATAATTAATTGTAGGTGGGGCCATGAAGTACCACCTAGGATGGCACGCCCCACCCTAATAAAACTTTCCTTATGTTAGTTCAAGCTTTGGATTGAAGAGAATGCTTTGAAGTGTTTTGGGAAGATTTTGCCTTGAGAAAGCTTTCAAAAGATTTTTGGAAAGCATGAGAAGGTTCGAATGAAATTATTTTATTTAATTTATATTTATGGGAAAATTATTTAGGAATGGGGGATAAAAGTTCTAGCACCTTCTATTATGACCCATTTATAAATTAATGACTTAAATTTCTTACCCCACAATTCACCCAAGATCAATGGTTTATATTCAATGTTACAAGAAGAGGCAAGCCAAAGAAAATCCTAATCTTGTTAAAGCATTACAAAAATGGATTGATCCTTATCAAAATCTCTACATCTGATTTTCATCTCTCCTTCTCACATCCCACCAAGGGGGCATACTCACTTAGAATATCTCTCTTAAGAAAGTTCCTCTCCCTAAGAGACCCAAAGGGGCACGCCCCATTCTCATATTTGATATTTCTCTCATAGTGGTTCTCTCAACTCTCTCATTATCTCTCATCTTTCTTTGGGATTTTAGACTACAAGATTGTGGTCGAAAAGAGAAGATCTCTTTCAAATTAGGTTACTAAGGGGATTTACTTAAAGGTTTGAGATTTGTGATAAAGGTGTTCATAGTTCCGTTAAAGGGTTTGACCTAAACTTACTTTCCCGGTTGAGATTGAAGGTTAATCGTCGATCTCGCGCTATCAGGTGGTGACTTGGTGCGGGGTATAATAAACCAGCTTGAGGTAATCTCTGATAATATCTTCTTTGTTTCGTGCCATGTTTAATTATATTATATTTATATTTTCAACCACAATAATTGTATTTATTTTATTTGTTTAAAAAAAATTGGTTTAGTGGCATCAAGATTTTAAAGATCTTAGATGTAGTAGTTTTATTTTATTTGAAGCAAGAGTTATTGTAATAAGACTACTTGTAAATGAATTTACCAAAAAAAAAGGAAAAAAAAAGGTGGAAAAAAAAAAAAATATATCCCCCAAAAAATCACATTAGTTTTTCTTTCGGTTACTAAACAGTTTGATAACTAAAAAATCGGACCAAAGGCGGCAAATAAAATCTAAAGGCCGTCCTTCTAAAACAATAACGGCCTTTTAGGGTATTTTTGTTATAACAATTTAGAAAACTGGTAGGGATGTATATTTTATTTTTTATAACTGCCGTCGTAACGCTTTTATGACATCCGTTTTTAAGTCCTTGAAACAAAAGTGACACGAGTGAGACCGGAGAGAGAGAAAGATGAACCAATGCCCGATACAGAAGCGAGAGAACGTGAGGCACGAGACATAAAAGATAGAAAGCGTGGCACGAGACAGAGGAGAGAGAAAGTGATGCAAGAGAGAGAGGAGAGAGAGTGATGACAAAGAGAGGGGAGAGAGAAAGTAAGAGATTGTGTGACGCATGCGTGTATCTATCTCAGCCATTCGGACCAAACATCCAGGATATGCATCCAACCCATAACCCCCTTTTGCTCTTACTCGCCGTCCACTTTTTCGCCCTATTTCAGTAGTTAATGAGAAAAAGCCCATTTCCAAACAATTCCCAAATTACAATCGCCTCCCCACCATCTGCGAATCTCTCTCTCTCCACCACCGCCACAACGCTCACATTCATATTCCCCCACTTCTGCAACATATTTTCGTCCTCGTCAATGGCGGATTGTGTTTCCTCATCTCTCTGACGAATTCTCCGATTGGGTTTTCATGGAGAGGGGATTTTCTTGGTGGGTTTGTGTTTAGGAGTGGCCATGAAAGGTGGGAAAGATGAGGCCAGGATCGGTGGTGATGGAGGTTGCGATAAAACCATGGGTCCAATGTTTCCTAGGCTCCATGTGAATGATACAGAGAAAGGGGGGCCTAGGGCTCCTCCGAGGAACAAGATGGCCCTTTACGAGCAGCTGAGTGTGCCTGCTCAGAAGTCCAATTCGTTCTCTTCGCTGTCGAATCGCGATGCAAGTAACTCTGTGCTTTCTGCTTCTTCTAGCCAGGTGAGTTCATGAGCTGCTTCTTTTTTTCCTGTTTTTTTTTTTTGGGTATTGGTTTGATTATTTGTTTCTCCATTTCCCTGACATGAGTTTGTGCGGTGGAACTTTGTTGTTACGTTATGGTTGGCTACTGCTTGTGACTTTTTTTTTTTTTTGGTTCCGAAAATTTTTACTGATGCTTTGAATTTTACTGTTTTCCCTTGAATTATGTTGTGGATTTGTTGTTCTTGGAATTGTTCTGTGGTTTATTCTGGTGTAAAACTTTTTTTATTTGTTTTCTTCTTCAATTATGGTTAACAAGTGTAAATAATCGGTTTTTTTTCTCTTTATTGTTTCATTGGATTCACTGAATTGGAGTGCAAGTATCTATGTTTCTTTTGATCTAAATTGCTCTGACGGTGGATTGTGGTTTCCTGACCGTTGATGTGTAATAATTCTCTATTTTTGACCAAGTTCTAAGATTAGGTGAGATTTCCTTAGCTAACTTCCACTTTGAGTTAACAGGATTTTTATTTTTATTTTTATTTTTATTTTTGGCTTTTCCTTTTGCCTTAATTTTTCTTGGATATGTGGTTGTTGTTTTCTTTTTTCGGTTGCAAGCAAATTTTCTTTTTTGATTCTTAGAAAGGGCCCCCTCTCTCTCTCTCTTTCTCTTTGATGCCAGGAGTTGTTCTCATTGGATTCTCCATCTATTTTAATGGATGGCTAGAACTTGCGTCCATGTATGTATCAATCTTTTGAACTTGTGGTGGTGTCCTATGGTGTTATGACCTTGTTATTGTTTATGATACCTTTTGGCTTGATCATAGTTAGCAAGTCTCCGTTTAGAACATAAATTTTTCAAAAAATCTGACTTTTTGAAATCCGTTAAGAACTCCAAAGTTTTCAAAATATCTTAAAAAAAAAATTTGCATTTTTTTTAGTGGGACCGATATACACCGGTATTTCATCTTTCTTCAAAAAAAACTTTAAAAAAGACTTCTTCCCGATAACTTTATCTCTTCATTAATTTAATGTTTTTGAATTTCACATTAGAGATTAGCACATTAAAAATAAAAGTAAATTAAGAATCTTAATTTAACAAAACTTTTCATACAAAAATTTCACTAATATCTTCCCTTAAAAAAAGTGCAATATATTCTCCAAAGAAATCCATGAAAACGATTATATAGATCAAAATAATAGTTAGAGTTAGAGGAGTAACCCAATAAAAATGTTTTTTTCCTCTAAACACAGAGTGTCATTATAAAGAACTAGAGAGACAGTGACAACTAAAGTTTTAGGCAACTAGGAGTTCAGGGTGAGCTTCTAATCTGGATTTGTATAAGCATTTTGTTGCTTTCTTTCTTCATATAGAAGTTCGATTAATCTTTACAATTTTTTTTTCTTTTCATCAGTGTATACAACATGACAATTTGGATGGACTACTATTTTATGTTTTTGGGTGTTTGTGTTTTAGTTAAGTACAATCCTATACTAAATATCTTTTTTATTTTTTTTCTTTGAAAAATAATCCATATCTTGGGTTTTGTTTTTGTTGCTCGCTAATGTAGTTCTTGTGTTTAGTATTGTTGTTGTTGTAGTTGGGAGCATACAACAATAGAGTAAGTATCTATGTTTTGTGTCATGACAATAGAGTAAGTATCCTTGTAGTATTTATTAAAATTTTATGCAAAAATTTGTCAAGTATGACTCTAATGATATTAGATAAGGACATGAAAATTATAGTTCAATGGTTTTAATGTATTCGTACAATAACCGCAACCCATATTCCTATATTATGCTTTTTTTACATATCCGATATGTTCACTCCGTTTTTTTTAGTCAAATCTGAAATATTCATGATTTTCTAAGTTAACTAATTTTTGGCGACCGTATTTTGACCCAATTTTTTTCCTCCAACTTTTTGGAGCAAAACCAATTTATTACCTATGTTTTGGTTTGACGATATATTGTTATTCCCCAACTTGCTAACTATGGGCTTGATTGAGGGTGTCAAATGAGGTTCGCACTCACTCTCTCGCTCTTAATCTTTGGTACATCTGTTCTGCTGTTTTTTCTTTCTTATTGATCAATTACACGTGTTACTGTTACTTTGGTTGGTTAAAGCATAAGGATTATCTACTCTGTGTATGATCTTCCATCACTGTGATGGTGGATGGTGGATTTTTCTGAAATTTTACTGCTTGATAATTATTCACTTTATTAGGGTTGAAGATAGATTGGTTTCTATGTTTTGATTTGTACATTGTAACGAGGTCTTGAAAATTTGACTTATTTGCAGTCTTGTTGTACTGGTCTTGGGTGAGGGATCAAATTGGGAATAAGGATGTGATCAGCCCATTTTTTCTTAGTAACATTTAGTGTAGCTTGTTGGGTAAATAATGTCTTGAGAAGATCTTAAGCTTTTTATAAATTCAGTATCATGGTGTTTACACACACACACATATATATGTTGATTTGCCTATATAAGCTCATTGATGGAGGTTCTTTTTAATTGCCTTCGGCCCTTTCTGTTGCCTGAATTGGAATAATTTCGATTGCACTGTGGCTGCAGGTTAGTGGCCATGATAGGAGCGCATTTCCCCCATTGCGCATTCCTCAAACACTGGCTTATTCATCAGAGAATAACAACTCCTGTTCTTCAGACGTGATGAATATAAATGCAGCACCAATGGAGTTTGATAGGAGACCCTTGAGAAACAACAGCTACAAAACACCCATCGTCACAGGTCAGTTATCCTCGACCAACCAATTTACCCCAAATGATCTCTCTGATTCAAAGGCATCAAGTGGGCCAAAATTTGGTGTCGAAGATGATTTTATGGTTCCTAACTTTGGCAATTCTGGAACACTTAACCATATAGAAAGAGTGGCTCCGTCCTATCCTCTCTATCCGGGGTGTTCAACAAGAACAGTGGCAAATAGCACTCAGAATGGTGCAACAGTCTCCTGCAATTCTCCATTTCAAGCCCTAAATGCCCCTGAGACACCCTCAAAGTTTTTCAATCTTATGAAGTTCAAATGTTCGGACCCACATAACTTGGAATCAGAAAACAATCGCTGTGCCCCAAAATCTTCTTTACCTGTAAATGATCACATGCAACAATCTGTGTGCAATATGGAGGTTCCAGAAAAAAATGGGGAAGTTCCTACTAAACACATGAAGGAAACACCAAATCAAGATAGGTCAAGTGGTTTGCTCAACAGAATCGAAAAAGTACAGGACAATACTGCACCAGGGTGCACCCGGCCTAGTGCTGGGAATGAGCTGAGGTGCTCGAGTAGGCCCGAGGTTAGAGACAGTGGTGATATATCATGGATGATGACTAATTTGGGCTCTGGAGCATCACCGAGGAGCAACAATAGGAGCCCTAATGGGCCTGAAAACTACAGGGAGCAAAGCGGGGACAATGCTTGTGAGTCGCAACAGTTGGAGGATGGAAATAGGAATGATGACGCCTCCGAGACTTCAATGGTGGATTCCATATCCGGTCTTGAAATATCCCCCGATGATGTTGTTGGGGTAATTGGCCAGAAGCACTTCTGGAAAGCCAGAAGAGCAATTGTCAAGTAAGCAATTTTAACCTTGAAGGCTATTAATGAAAACAAACTGTACCTTTATAGGCATCTATGTACTGTTTATGCATAATCAATTGAACAGTTAATTAGGTTTTCCCTTTTTGCCATGTTTTGCTGTTGTTTCTGTGTGCAATTTATGAGCAGAGATAGCACTTTTTGCAATGGAATGCTGTTTCTCTGTAATAAGATAATTTTCTTTATTTTGCAAATTGTTGAAGTTTCAATTATTATCGAATAAAAACAATCTATGATCTTCTTATGCTGATTCTAATGTCAGCAAAGATGTTCGTTTTACTGGAATTTGTAGGCTCTGCAGCTTGTACATACTTGATGTTTGATTTACTCATCCTCTGGGGTTCCTTATGACATTCTCAATGGTTAATCTATACTGAATATTTAAATTATGTAAGGCATTTCTTTGTGTGGCGAAGTGTATAGAAACATGATTGATAGTGTAGCAGAGATTAGTGGGATTGTGGAGGTTCCTTTGTGTTTGAGGCTGAACCTTTAAATAATTCCTAATAACAGGGAAATGTCAAGGTAAGTCTACCTACTTTACAGCTTATCAATCAATAATCTTGTCATATGATCCTTTGTCTCACTTCTACTGAGATAAATGGTTACAGACCGAATTGGTTTTTAGTTGAAAACCCATACTGAACTGATACCAGAAGGAACTTTGAGAACATGAGCTAATCAAATTTGCGGTGAGGTTCAAGAGCTATCATGTCAAGAGCTTAAAATTAAAGGATTGTCCTCTAGGAAAGTGAATGAGAGAAGATATCACAGATGAATTGCTTCGTGATAGAGTTCGATGCACCTGAATCAGTTTACAAGTTATTAAGGGGCACTGGAGGTAGAGCTCATAGAAGTGGCTTTGAAATACTAAAGCAACTTAATAAGCTGCTGCAAATTTCTAAAGAACATATTTTACATATTGATAGTTGAAACAGTCATCAAGATTGAGAACAAAAAATGGTAACAAAGTTGATGAGGCAGATTGCATTTTGTGCAGCAGAGGTGTAGCAGCCTTATTATATATAGAATCGACTAGATGGAGTCAAGAGATCCAATTCTCTTGAAGAGCAAAAACTTAACTACTAAAGGAGTTAAAGCAGAGATTCTAGGTAGTGAGTAAGAGTGAGCATTAGTCTAGACTCTAAAGTGTGGCATATGTTTGTGTTGGACTTTTGTGTCTACCTGGGATGCAGTGTGCCAGGTCAGTTTCTTGAGACATTTGTACTTCATAAGCATAAACCCAACCATATCGTATTGCTGATCTGCCCAATGAAAGAAAAAGGCCATTTCATATCACCAGTACAATATACTGGGCATTGCGTCCAAGGTAGAGGAAACACTAGTACGAATTTTGTTGTCTGCTCCAGCAACAGTGAAGGCTGATTTGGCAAGAAAGACTCTACTTCAACGCTTTTGACAGAATGAGCCAATTTTTATGAAACACTAATATGTATTTGTTTTGTCCATTAGTTTTGGACAGAGGACACAAGTACTGAAGAATAGTGCCAAGACATATGCATAATTGGTCCGCCTAGATGAAAGATTAAATATTTCCTGAACCTCTAAACACAAAATACTCATTGCAAGATTCTGTACGTGGGTTGTTGGGTAGTAATTCAGTCACCAAGGGGGTTTCACACAGGTACAGTCCAGACTCAGCAGCAACTTTGAAAATTCTCCTCTCTATTCAATCCAGCAAGATCTTGGATGTGCATGAAATTTCAATATGGGACTGAAAATGACAGTTTCGTTCAAGTGCAATTTTAGCTTCCACTGTGGTCTCATATGAGAAAAGGGAGAAATCTTCTACCTGTCTGCGAAAAATGTTCTATGAGATAAACGTTTATAACTTCTGAATAAGAAAATTATTCTTCATTGATCATTCATATGAAAGTCATTGCGTGTGTAAAGCTTCTAATTTGCATTTTTTTTTTGTTTATAGTTGCTAATGCTCGATCTAGGTCATGAAACCATAAATATGTTTCTGGAAAGAGTTCAAAATTGATGCAATTTGCTTTAGACGAGTCATATCAATGTGACAAGCAAGAACCTTAAATCTGTTGTGGATCTTGCAGGTTTAATCATATCCAAGCACAGGTTTAGGTGTTTTGTTCTGAAATCGTTTAGGCTTTTTAGAATTTATCATTAGTGTTTGCAATCTCCATACAACCCCTAGATTTGGCAGGTTATGGTCTTTAGAATTGGGATTTTACTTTTGCTAAATCTCACTTCTCTGCCATGTTAATTGAGAGCATCAATCATTCTCATTAGATGAAATTGTGGTGCCCTTACAGCCTTGTATGCAAGTAACTAAGGGCTGCATAAGATATAAGTAAGATGACGTCAATTTCCTTGAAAGACTACCACGTAACATTCGCTATTTTGGTCTTCCATTCTGTTGAATGGTCCTCGATCTTCATCCACTTGGCCTCCTTCTTAGAAAGTGTCAATGAAATGAAACTCCTCTTAATAAGTTTGGCATCTTTGGCAGTTTCATCTCCTACCTTGTTAATGATTCCAGTTCCTCTCTCTCTCTCTCTCTCGCTCTACACACAGATATTCATAAATTGAAAAGTATATATTCCACTTTTTTATCATTATCTATATGCATACTCAATGAGGACTTCATAGCCAAGAAGTCCCTAAAAGATTGAGAAAATGAGAATGTAGGGTCATGATAAGAACTGAAAATTTTATCATTAAACCACTATAGTCTTTATTTACATGGTTTTAGTGAACCTGGTCCCTACAGTGAGCTACGCGATTTGCTAGTATCGCCATAGAGGAGGAAAACGTTCCTGATAGAGTTTAAAAATCAGAAATCCAGTGCTGACTTGGGGCCACTCTCTGATCCAAGTTGGCTTGTTGCTCCAACGTCAGCTCGCCTATTCTTGGTGGGTCGGCTTAAACATGGAAAAAAAAGAAAAAGAAAAAGAATATAATAGAAAAAGAAACAATAGCACCAAGACTTAGGAATTGCCCAAGTCCTACAATGTACCACGCAATTCACTACAATCCCCATAGAGGAGGAAGGAGTTCTCGATAATGTTTGGAAAATAAGAATTTGGTGCTTACTTGGCACTAATTGATAAGTCGGATTGCTGTTCCTAAATCACATTCTCAATTCGCGAGTCCCCTCGTTGATTCTGTAATTGGCTATCTAATAGGTAGGGTCGGGTCGGCTGCATGAATCCTGTTCCACTCTATCAAGGGCCATACCCTCAGTTAGACCATAAATCATCATAGCTCTTCTCACTACTTTCATCCATGTCCTTTCGGGCCTTTCCCTTTTAGAGCTTTCCGCTTGAATCAAATCGCCCCTCCTCACTAGTGTTGTTCTAGGTTGACATTACGCATGGTACAAACACACACACGCATATATATCATTAGGATTTGCGAAAAGATATGGTAAAGTTTTACGCTGGTTGCCTACCTAACACAACCCTCCTCCTTTATCCGGGCTTAGGACGGGCATGACCGGCTTGGGTCCGGCCATGGTGAGTTTATCACCTGAGTCTCTACAGTGAACGTGATGACTCACTACAATGAAACACCTAGTTCTGACAATGCAGGTGATTCTCTATTTTAGGACCATTTGAGTCGGCTTGCTGATTTTCATCCACTGGTGGAAACTGTGCATATGAAAATGGAAATCAAAATTTGTTGACAGGTGGTCATTTGCTAGAAATGATCGAATAGCAAAAAATAGTATGAAATCAAACATTTCAGAAGATTCAAAAACTTTTGAAGATCCTGCTGGGATTGTGATCCCTTCAAACTATGTCTGTGCCCCATTTTCAGTGGGGCCGTGATGCCACTTCCATAGGGACTGAGAACCCTTTTAGTTAGGGATTAAGATCCCTTTATTCAGGGACCATGATCCCTTTGGGGCAGGGTTTTGTTTTTGGGGGGTAGGGGAAAAGGGGGGCCAAGCTCTGCTTAGGCTCTGACTCCGGCTCCAGAATCACTAGCTTTGCTTAAGCCCTGACTCCGGCTCCAAAATCACTAGAGTGAGGTTTTGAGGTGCACAACTATGGCTTATATTGTTGCATAAGCCACTTTGAGCTAGAGGGTTTGTTGGGGCCGAAAATGTGAAGACATGTGGACCTTATTTAGATGAGGATGATCAAAATAAAAAAAAATATTGAAAAGACACAAAAAATGGGAAATATGTGTTTGCCATTTTTGGTGAATGCAAGCCATTCATTTGGTGGGCAGGGATCTAGGCCTTTAAGATCTGAAAATCGATGTTTTTTTCAGTCGTCTATTTTTTAATCAAAGATTTGCAAAATGTTTTGCACACAACAAATCGCTCTATGCACACATTTTAGCCAACGGGCACCATTAGCTTATTCAATGTTTTCTTTTATGGAAGAAGATTCTATTGGCTCATAGGCATACACTACAGTATGAGGCAATAAGCCATTATAAAAATTCATGGCTAACGGATTTTTTTCTGGGTTGAAATCTCTTGGTTTGAAAAAAAATGAATTCAAAAGAGGGGCGCGGGGGGGAAAAAATTTTAAGTACTTGAAGGCTAGGATCCATCTACCATCAAATAGACGCCTTGCCTTTACCAAGAATGGTGTGCTTTTTTACTCCTTTTTATTGTTTTTCTTGATCTCTTAGATGAGATCTACATGTCTACAAAATTTGGGGGTCAACAACCACCTTTAGCTCCAACAGGCTTTTGCTCTAGTATAAGCCCGTGGACTTATGGGATTTTCCATCACACATACATGTTCCTAGATGCTTCCTAAATTAAAAAACTTTTAGCATTTGACATGCCTTTGCACTTACACTCCTTCCAGCTCCTGGTGATAAATAACCTTTTATTAATAAACCTGTTCATAATGAAACAACTGTAATATAAAGGATAAATGTTCCGTATTTTAGGGGGAGTTGTTGGACTGCGTCAACTTCATCCTGCCTTGACATCTGGACCATCCATTTAATGGGTGGTACATAGCATA